TATATATATATATATATACACACACACACACACACACACATTTTAGTATATACTCAGAAATGGTATTGCTGGATGATATGGTAGTTCTATGAATTTTTTAAGGAAGCTACATACTGTTTTTTATAATAGCTGCACCAATTTATATTCCCACCAACAGTGCACAGGGTTCCCTCTTTTCCCACATCCTTGGCAACATTTATCTCTTGTGTTTGTGGTGACAGCAGTTCAAGCAGGTGTGAGGTGATACACATGGTGTTTTTGATTTGCATTTCCCTGATGATTATTGATGTTGAGCACTTTTTCATGGATTTGTTGGCCATTTGTATGTCGTCTTTGGGAAAATGTTTATTCAGTTCTTCTGTCTACTTTTTAATCAAGTGTTTTTTGTTTTTGCCATTGAATTGAGTTCTTTATATATTTTGAATATCAATCCCTTGTCAGATGTATGATTTGTGGATATTTTCTCCCATTCTGTAGGTTGTCATTTCATTTTGTTTCCTTTTCTGTTGAAAACCTTTTTAGTTTGATGTAGTCCCACTTGTTCATTTTTGTTTTTGTTGTCTTTGCTTTTTTTGTCAAATCCAAAAAATCATTATCAAGACTTATCTTGAGGAGCTTACCACCTATGTTTTCTTCTAGAAGTTTTATGGTTTCAGGTGTTAAATTTAAGTCTTTAATCTATTTTGAGTTGATTTGTACATAATGCGTAAGATAGGGTTCTAGTTTCATTCTTTTATATGTGGCTATCCAGTTTTCCTAGCACCATTTATTGAAGACGCTATCCTTTCTCCATTGTATATTCTTGACTCCTGTGTTGTAAACTAATTGACCATATATGCAAAGGTTTATTTCTGGGTTCTATATCCTATTCTGTTGATCTATGTGTTTTTATGCCAATATTAGACTGTTTTGATTACTGTAGCTTTGTAATATAGTTGGAATTGGGAAGTGTGATTTTTTAAGCTTTGTTCTTTCTCAAGATTGCTTTGGCTTTTTGGGGTCTTTTGTGGTTCCATATAAACTTTAGGATTGTTTTTTCTATTTCTGTGAAAAATGCCATTAGAGTTTTGATAGGGATTGCATTGAATCTGTAGGTTGCTTTGAGTAGTATAGACTTATTAACATTATCAGTTCTTCTAATCTGTGAGTGTGGTATATCTATTGTGTCTTCTTCCATTTCTTTTAATCAGTGTCTTAAAATTTTCAGTGTATAGATCTTTCCACCTCCTTGTCAAATTTATTCCTAGGTATTTTATTCTTTTGATGCAGTTGTACGTGGGCTTGTTTTCTTCTTTTCTCTTTCTGATAATTCATTGTTAGTGTATACAAACACAAGGGATTTTTGTATATTGATTTTGTATACTGCAGCTTTATTGAATTTGTTGGCGAAGTAATACTTCATCATTAAATTGTTTTTTGAGTGATTTCACTCACTTTCTGGTTTCCTTGTTTTTCAGTTTAAGCATATGGTATTAAAAAACAAAACACCCATCTGTTTGGCTGTTAGAGTCTTTGGTCTTACTTCTCTGATCTGGTAAGAGCCCATATGTTCTCGGTAGTCAGTAGTTTCAATTATCAAATGGGGAAGCAGTAATTGAACTCTTTTTTTCAATTGTATTGGCAAGGGATGCAGCATTGGTTACTCTTACTGAGACTATCTGGGATGTGAGGGGAGAAACATATTTTTTAGGCCATGCAAGCAGATATTTGGGTATCATGAAATTCTCAAAAGTGAATAATACTACCCTACCGAGGCATTAAGAAACCATTTAAGTTATTTTAATTGAGTAGAAGAAGCTCCCTGAAATTGACTTCACCATAAAGAAGAATGAAATCTTGCCCTTTGCAACAATATGGATGGCTCTAGAGCACATAATGCTAAGTGAAGTCAGTCAGAGAAAGAGAAATACCGTATGATTTCACTCGTATGTGGAATTTAAGAAACAAAATAAAGAAAACAAGATAAAAATGAACAAAGAAAAAAAAGACAAAAAACTCTTAAATACAGAGAAGAAACTGGTGGTTACCAGAGGAGAGACCCCGGGGGAATGAGTGAAATAGGTGAAGGGGATTAAGAGCACTGAGGAATCTATAGAATTGTTGAATCACTGTATTGTACACCTGAAATTAATGTAACATTATATGTTAATTATACTGGAATTTAAAAAATTAATAAAAGAAAGTCCCTGAAATTGATAATATTTTTCTGGGGTCCTGGAAGCAAATTTTAGAATGTTATATTAGGTTAGATTGCTTGAACTTGATTTGCTGTCTCCCAGTTTGTTTTATATGCCGGCACAGCATTTGAGATGATAATTTACTACCTGAGAAAGTTATAAAGGTAAAAATAATCTCCAGTGACAGGAAACTCAGTTCTTCGTAGGTCAGCCCATTTCATGTTTGGATTCTTCTGACTGGGGAAACTGTGTAGTTAAACATGCTTCCTGTGAACTGAAGGGAGATGATGACCTGAGATGACATGTGCCACCTCACACTGCATCACTTTGGACGAGTTGTTTAACTTCTCTGTGCCTCAGGTTTCTCATCTCTACTCTGGAGGATAATGATACTTCATAGAGTTGTAGGGTTGAGTGAGCAGGTTAGTTAGCACTTAGAATAATGCTTAGTACATAATAAGCAATAAATGTCATGGTTACTTTTACCATCAGTATTAACGTATTTGTTTTAATGATTTGACTTGACTCCCAAGAAATTCTTGGGAGATATTGTCACCTGACTCTTTGATTTCTAGCATATAGTCTGTGTGCCATCAAGTGAAATAGAGGACATAGGTTTGGTAGAGGAAGTGGAGGAGAATGCTGAGTTTACTTCTGAACATGCTGAATTTGAGATGTTTGTGGAATACTAGTGTTGAGATACGGAAATTTGAAGAAGAGGGCAAAGTCCTTGGCATATGGCTGGTAATTAAAATTATGAGAGATGGGTGAAATAACTTAAGGATCTACTTTGGTTATAGATGAGAAACCTGGGGACCCTAAACCTTAAAGAATAGGTGAGGCCATAAAGGAGACAGTCTGAGAGTTAGAGATGGTCTGAGAACCAGGAGAGAGAAGTGACACCAAAAAAGGGAAAGGTATCAATGTTGTCTAATGCAACAGAGAGTACAGTAACCTGTGAACTGGAAAGTATACATGGCTTGATAGTTAACAGGTCTTTTGTGACCCTCTTGTATCAGTAGAGGAATAGAGGTAGAAGCCAGATAGCAGTGACTTCTGAAGGGTTAAAAGGGAGGAAGAACAGACAGTAAATGTAGACTACTGTTTTGAGAAATTTTGATGAGGCAGATGTTAAAAACTAAAGGAAGATACAGGGTAAATGGAAGATTTGGGGGCAGGATGGAATATTGATGGGCTAAAGAGAAGGGCTATTAGAAAAGAAAAAGGTTGAGTGGCACCTGGGTGACTCAGTCGGTTAAGGATCCGACTCTTGATTTCAGCTCAGGTCATGATGATCTCATGGTTTGTGAGTTTGAGCCCCACATCGGGTTCTGCGCTGACAATGGGAAGCCTGCTTGGAATTCTCTGTCTCCCTCCCTCTCTGCCCCTCCCCTCACTATCTCTCTCTCTCTCTCAAAAATGAATAAATAAGCATTAAAAAAATATTAAAAAAAAGAAAAGAAAAGAAAAAGGTTGAGTATAAGGAGAATGGAGAAAAGATGGGTTCAAGACCACAAGTTGATGATACTAGTCTTAAACAGGAGGGAGGTGAAAACATCTGAGACTGGAACAAAGAGAGATGTGGATATAATCAAGCCTTGAAGATAGAGGAAATTCTCCTAAAGACTTCATTTTCCCCAAAGAAAAGAAAGGGGAATTTGTTGGAAGGAGTCAAGGGTTGACTAAGTGTTTGGAGGAGAATGGTCAGTATTTAGAATAGTGATTGAAAGAAAAAGAGGGCAGGCAGATTTGTTCTCCAATGAAGGGATTTTTAATCTGAGCAGTATTTGGGTACTATGAATGTGTTATGTGAAAGGGGAAGGATTATTGTTTGATTTAATGGAAGATATATTTATTTAGCATGTATTTTGTACAAAATACTGTGTTATTTCTTCTGGGAGACTTGGATGAATACTGACCGCCTTACTCAAGATGGGGGTGGATATGAACTATAATAGCTCATGTCATATGATATGTCAGAACCACAAATGTTTATAATAGCCTAAAATGATGATACATGAATTTTATAAACATACTGTGAGAGTTTGAAAGAAGAAGAGATCCCACTAAATATGGGGAAATAGGAAGGTTTTATGGAAAAGACAAAAAAATATATAAAATAAGGGCTACATGTGTATTTTCTGATGAAATAATAATGAAATCAGTTGTAATTTTTTCATCTATTACAGCAATTATTTATTCTTCTATAATACAATGACTGGCACTAACCAGAAATGAAGAAATAAAGAGATTAACAAAACATAATTCTGCTTTATCCAAAAGATGTTCCAAATTTGGCTTTTTTTTTTTTTTTTTTTTTTTTTTTTTTTTTTTTTGGTAGGAATGTAGAATTCAGTAATCCATTCCACAAATATTTAAAGGACATCTCCATGTTAGGTACTGAGGATACAAAGAAGACTAAGATACAGTTTCTTTCTTCAAGGAGTGCATACTCTAGTAGAAGAAATAGAAGTAAAGGAAACTGAAGATCTATGCAATAAAAGATGTAAAAGTGGTATATATGAGTAAAGAAATTTGGGGTTACAGTGGAAGGAAACATGAATAAATGATTATGTTGCTATGACAGCAAGTTTTTCCCTTTTTCTTTTCTTTAGTTGGAGAACATCAATTGACAGGCCATAAAGTGGCAGTTAAAATCTTAAATAGACAGAAGATTCGCAGTTTAGATGTTGTTGGAAAAATAAAACGAGAAATTCAAAATCTAAAACTCTTTCGCCATCCTCATATTATCAAACTGTAAGTATTTTTGTACCTGATAATGCAAAAGAAACTGTCCTGAAATAATTCCTATGAATTTATAAATAATTGTTTATCTTTAGTTAACTTTTTATAAAAGTATAATTCTTTTTTTTATTTGTATTCAGCAAATATTAATTCATTTAACCTCTATTAATCTTTTTTTGTATACTTTTAGTTTATAATTAAGAGTCACTTTTCAAAATTGCTACTGTTTTCGGGTGGTGAATGCAGCCTTAGAAGTTGACTCTTCCCTAGTATTCACTTTAAAGGGCATTTAGGACTTTGGTATTCCTAGAGTCATTTCATAATTTTTTTTCTAATCTATTTTTGTTAACATAACAGTAGTTTCTTTTTGGAAAAGGTAGAAAGTAACTGGTAGAGATTATCCACCCTAGTATATTATTTGCAAAACTGCAGTTATTACTGTGATTACTGATACCAAAGCTCTTAGGGAGGCAAAAGGATTTTTTTTGATAGGATAAGTTACAAATTTAAAAGATAAGTAAATATGAAGAGATTGATAAACCTGATTAATTATATTAAAAGATAAATAATTTAAAATTGATTATACTCATAGTAAATGTAGATACTGAGTATGGAACAGTATTCTTTTAAATCATTTAAAGTTGCAGTTTTATATTAACTGAGAAAATGTAATATAAACACTGATAATTGTCTCTATTTTTTATCTTAAAAAATTGTTTTAAAGTTTATTTTGAGAGAGAGAGGCACAGAGGGAGTGGGGGAGGGGCAGAGAGAGAGGGAGACAGAATCTCAAGCAGACTAAGTAAGCACTGCCAGTGCAGAGCCTGACATGGGGCTTGATCCCATGAACTGTGAAATCATGCCCTGAGCTGAATCCAAGAGTCAGGTGCTTAACTGACCACCTAGGCACCCCTCTTTATTTTTTATCTTAAAGTTTGGATAGAGTTTTATAAAATAAATATTAATCTTGTTGAGTACCTGATAATGGCTAGGAACTATATTGAGAATTTTACATATATAATTCACTGTATCCTCTTGATGAGCCTATAGGATAGGTATTCTTGTCTTCAGTTTATAAATAGGAAAATTACATATCTAAAGAGTATTATCAGTGTGTCCAAGGTCAAATAGCCAGTAAATTGCAGAGCTGGTAGTTGATGCCATGCTGTTAATACTTTACTCCAGTTTTTCTCAAAACAGAATGATATAAATCCCTTTTAAGGGAAAAATAAATTTGTGGATCCCTGGTCTTGACTTAATTATTTTTAGTGTATTGTTTTTTAAGTATATAGAAACAAAGAATTAGGTGTAATAAACTCCATATGCTTATAGCTTCAACACAACTATGAAACTAAAATAAATTCACAATTTAAATATAAGACCATGAATGAAGTCATTGAAATTCATAGTATCTATAGTATAACGTGACAAATAATGGTGGTTTTCAAAAAACAAATCATTGTTAGTTTAATTGTAGAATTAATAGAATGAGGTCCAAGGCCATATATATTTTTTCCTTCAAATAATATTGCAGAGAATGCCTGTTGATATGACTATACCGTAAAAAATCATTTTTAATATCTTTGAGATTTTATTTGCTAGTTCATTACAATCAGGCATTATATTTAGCCTAAACTTTGTTAGTGAGTCATCTTTGGGTGTCAGTGTTAATGAGAAACATCTCAATAACCTATAGAGATATATTATTTGCCTATGACAAAGCTAGCATAGTAGCTGTGGTAGGCTGAATAATCCCCCTGCCCCAGATATCCTATTTCCTAGATTCTTTGACTATGTTACATTACATGGCAAACGGGAATTAAAGTTAGAGATAGATTTAAGGTTGCTGATCAGCTGACTATAGGGAGGTTTTCCTTTATTTTCTGGGTGTGCCCATAGTAATCACAATGGCCTTTAAAAGTGAAAGAGGGGGGCGCCTGGGTGGCTCAGTCGGTTAAGCGGCCAACTTCGGCTCAGGTCATGATCTCGTGGTCCGTGAGTTCGAGCCCGCGTTGGGCTCAGTGCTGACAGCTCAGAGCCTGGAGCCTGTTTCAGATTCTGTGTCTCCCTCTCTCTGACCCTCCCCCGTTCATGCTCTGTCTCTCTCGGTCTCAAAAATAAATAAACGTTAAAAAAAATTTAAAAAAAATAAATAAAAGTGAAAGAGGGAATCAGAAGACTAAGAGAAAGAGGTTTGAGGATGAAGCAAGGTCAGAGTGTTAAATGTGAGAAGGACTTAATTGGCTGTTGCTGACTTTGAAGATGGAGGAAGAGGGCCATGAACCAAGGAATGTAGGCAGGCTCTGAAAGTTAGAAAATAGAAGTTTCCCCCTAGAGCCTTCAGAAGGCAATACAGCCTTGCTGACAACCTTGATTTTAGCCCAGTGAGGTGTATTAGACTTATATAAAACTACAAGATAATACATTTTTGTTGTTGTAAGCCACCAAATTTGAAGTATGGCAGCAATAGGAAACTAATACAGTAGCATTCTTGAAATCCTTAAATGAGTGGCTAATCCACTTATTGCTAGGATTTGGAACATGCGTACATTGATTGTTGGTGAACTGTTGCAAATTGGTATGTTCCGTTCATCTTACTAACAACATGAATATGCAACTGTTTAGAGAAGGCTTTTTTTGGAGGGGCTTGGTGTGCTATTTGGTGACTGTGATGACTCAGTTCTCTCTCAAACCACTACCATGAAAACTTCCTTCATAACAGTAAGCTTCAGTGTCATTTGATCTTGACTTGAAGTTCAGTTGATCATACACATAAACAACAAATAAGGTCACTGAATTTGCACAGCAGTACATGATTGATTATAAGGTTATCATCTAAGACCTATATTCTAGAAGATCCAGAGTACATTTATACTGATTTTTTAAGATTATCTTAAGAATTAAAATACTACCTACTAGCTTGGTGACTCACCTCTCCTATTCTTTGTTTCCTTAACTTTAAAATGAGGATGTGTTTGCACTGGTATAATGCCTAGTATTTGATAAACATTGGTCTAAATTAGGAATTGGCAACCCACATGCTGATTCCAGTCCACTTTCATGATTAACTGTTTTTGAAACAGTTCATAGCTGACTTCAACTCCATGTTAATAATGACTTTATTCTAGTTACTGAGTGACTTCTAAGCTAAATCTCTTTGCTCTTCCTTACTGAGTGGCCACCTTCTGTGAGAGGAGAAAGCTGAGAAGTCAGACTAAAAGTATCACATGCCAGAATGAGAGTGAAGGGAGATACCTCTGTATTTGCCTTGTTCCTTAACCTCATCCCTTTTAGAATGCCAACCCTGAAAGACCCCAAGGAAACTTTGCCCATTTAAAGTATGAGTCCTAGGTCCTGTTCTGTTCCTACAAACACAGATCGGATTTTGTCAGTAAGCAGTTGCAACTGTCATGAGGATTTAAAAGCTTATTATTGTTATTTTTTTACTGTTTATTTATTTTTGAGAGAGACAGTGTGAGCAAGGGAGGGGCAGAGAAAGACGGGGACAGAGGATCCGAAGTGGGCCCTACGCTGATAGCAGCGAGCTTGATGTGGGAATCGAATTCAGGAACCGTGAAATCATGACCTGAGCCGAGGACGGATGCTCAGTTGACTCAGCCACCCAGCCTCCCTTAAATGTTTATTTTTGTTGTCCTATGTACCAGTGTTTCTTGCCTTCATTTCTATAATTATTTGTAATTTTAAATTTACTTTGGCTAATTATCTCATTCTGGTTTAGGATTATTTAATTATTTGCTTATAATTATAATTATTTAATTATTTGTTTTGTGTAGGAGATATAGAATGTTCTTAGGGTTGATCAGAAAGTAATTAGTGGAGGTAAATTTAATGTTTAAAGCTCTGCTTTCTAGCCTTGGGCTTAATCCATTCAGCTTGATTGCCTCTTTAATTGTGGACTGAAATAAAAAAAGAAAAAGCACTCATGTATCCTTGGTTTAGAACAAGCTTATTGACATAGCCTCTAACAGTGTTAGTGATTTAAATAGAGAGAGAGACCTGATCCTTTCAGTGGTTTTGTTTGTTTTGTGTAGTCTTGGACTAGCTGCCAAGAATAGTTCCCTTGTTACAGAATGGGCCTCTAGTTTCTCTAGCAAGAAAGCTTGAAAACCAAAAACCAAGAATGGAGGGTATTTATTGGATGATACCTCTATTAACTCAAATTGAAAAAATATCACTGGGAGAAAACTGAAAGGAGTAAACAGGATTCAAAGGAAACTCCAGACTTACCCATGAACTAGAATTTGTTGATTTGATTTTTGTCTCCCCCTGCCCCCACCATAGTTCTTGGGGAACTTCATTTTACTAATCAAAAGATGAATACTTCCTAATTTGGTAGAGCTGGTTTCGCCTATTTTTTAATTTTTTAAATCTTATTCAGCCTGTAGACAGCTCTTTAACATTGTTCATCACCTTGAAATGTTGCAGTCCCTAGGTTTCTGTGACATCATAGTCTTCTGATTTTCTTTCTTTTTTGCCACTTCTTAAGACTTTTCTTTATGGGCCTCTTTCTCTGCATGGCCATTAAATAATGATGCATTTCAGCAGTGTGAGCTACTGTAATCTTAGTGAACCGCCTTTGGGTGCCCCCATCTATTATGTTGGTTGTCATTTGTCATCTTTGTGCTCAAGACTTCTAGACCTGTATTTCTGGGCAGGTATTTCTCCTGAATTCTGAACACATGTACTCTTTATTGGATGATTCCATTCTGAAGTCCTAGAATCATCTGAAACTAAGTTGAACTTTTCTTTCTTTTCCACACTTCTCTGTTTTTTGTTTAGTAAAAGTACCATTCATGCAATTTTCTGAGCCTAAAACTTGGACATAATCTTTAATTCCTTTCCATCACATGTAATTGTTGAGTTCTGAAGCTACTTTTTCCTAAGTATCTCCTGAGTCTGTCCATTTTTTTTTGTTTGTTTTTATTGTCACTAGGTCTTTTACTTGTCTTTTGGCTGTTGCTTCTGCTTAGAAAAGTTTTCCCACACCTCCC